CTTCCTCTCTGTAAAAAATCAATAAAATATATTTAAAAAAAAATAAAAAAAAAAGAAAAAGCTTAATAGATACTGGTATGGATGACCCTATATAATAAAGCCTAATATGCTAAGTGTCTGGTCAACCAGTCGGCTGTTCAACCAACCAAAGCATAATATGCTAATGATATGCTAAGGCTGCTCAACCGCTCCCTATGATGTGCAATGACCACCAGGGGGCAGCAGTCAACCTGTCAACCAGTCTCTATGACATGCACTGACCACCAGGGGGCAGATGCTCTGACCGGCAGGTTGCTGCTGGAGTTCGGCTGATTGGGACTGAGCGAGATGGGCTGGACATGCCCTGGAGCCCTCCCATGCCCTGGAGCCCTGGAGCCCTCCCGTGGTCCCTCCCTGTCTAGCCAACCTCCTGCATCCCTCCCTGGCCCGATCATGCACTGGTGGGGTCCCTCGGTCTGGCCTGCACCCTCTCACAATCCAGGACCCCTCAAGGGATGTCAGAGAGCCGGTTTCGGCCTGATCCCACAGGCCAGGCCTAGGGATCCCCTTGGTGCACGATTTTGTGCACCAGGCCTCTAGTTTATAAGTGCAACAGCAATATGTAGGACTGTGTGTAGAATGTACTCATTTTGCAGAGAGTAAAAAAAATGGGAGAGTTAAAATTACAATGTGTGCCTATTTATAGTTTTAATTTTTTTAATAATATGAATGTCATTACCTATTTAGTGAACACACACACACACACACACACAGACATACACACAGACACAGACACACATAGCTGCATGAGAAAAGCAGCCTGTTCCTCATCTCCAGCCAATGATATCATCTGCAAATAGAAAGAAGTACTATCTCTGTTCCTAGTTTGATAAGTTTTTATTATAAATGAAGGTTGAATTTTGTCAAATACTTTTTCTGCATCTATTGAGATGATCATGTGGATTCCCTCTTTCAGTTTATTAATATGGTGACTCACATTGAATGACTTTCCAATGCTGAACCAGCCTTGCATGCCTGGGATAAAGCCCACTTCGTCTTGATGTATTACCTGCCTTACACATTCCTGGATTGAATTTGCTGACACCCTGTTGAGGAATTTTAAGTCTGTGCTCATAAGGAAGATTGGTCTGTAGTTTTTTGTAATATCTTTGTCTGGATTTGATTTAGGGTAAGCTGGTGTCATAAAATAAGTTGTCAATTTTCCCTGAAATATATATTTTTAATTCTCACCCAAGGATATGTGTGTGTGTTTTTTTAATGATTTTAGAGAGAGATGAAGGGGGAGAGAAAAAGAGAGAGGGGGAGAAACATTGATCGGCTGCCTCCCATTTGCACCCACACCGGGTATCAAACCTGCAACCTTTTGGTGTTCAGGACAATACTCCAACCAACTTAGCACTGGGCCAGGGCCTAGGAAGTAATCTCTAAATGACAAAAAACGGCTTAGGGATGGGTGCTGTGTGCAGACATGGTGTGACATGCTTAGCCCATTGGGCCCTCCCAGGAGCCCTCTGAAGTGTGCCTACACTTACCTGCACTTTGCGAGTGAGGTCAGTGAGGCACCGGGGGAAGCCACTTGTCTAAGGTCACCCTTATATTAATAAGCCGCAGAGCCAGGCTCACACTCAGGTCCAACTCCGGGCTTTGTCCTCTTACCCCTGTTTACCTCATCTTCTCTGAAGATGTTTCTGGTCATGAGAACAATGGGCAGGAGAACACACCTGGAGGGCTCGGTCTGGCTTTCTGGTCACCTTCTTCCACCTCTGGTTGACAACAACCGTGACTACCGTGTGCCAAAGCACTGACTGCCTCCCAGGCCAGGCAGTCACTGCTTCCATCTCACAGCCTGAGGCAGGTGCTACGCCCTCACTGGGCAGTTTGGAAATACTCCCACCTGCTTGGTGGCCACCATCTTCCTCACCTTGCCTCCCTTAAAGGTAAAGACTACCTCTGAGTGAGTTTCATGTGGTGCTGCTCTCCTCCCGGTGGGCTCACTGCCCCCTCCCCCAGACACTCAGGCTTGCCTTTCCTGCCCGCACTGCCTCCTGCTGTGCACGTCTCATCCCAGCGGCCCAGCCAGTGTCCCCAGCTCCGGGTGGGCTCTGCTATGTGTGTTCACAGTTAGAAACATCTGGCTTACCTAACAAGGAGGCGGAAAGGGATGGAGTTTAAGGAACAGCTGAGCCAGCAATCTTCACACTGAGCACACAGCCTTAAGGCTGAGTTAGTGCAGAGAACTTCATGGCAGTGATGAAGGTGCTGGGTGCAATGGCTTCCATAGGTAACCTCAATAATATCAACTACCTGTGTGGGTGGCTGTTCCTTGATTTTCCAGGGGGAGGAAATCAGGGTACAGAGTAGTTGGGAATTCTCAAGTGGCAGAGCTCAGTCCATACTTCAACATCAGAGCCCCCTGCACCCACATCAGCCTGTTAAATGCACCTGCCTGGGCAGTTCCTGGAGGCAGGGGACTAGACCACATGACCCATCTCAAGCTCTTCCTCTTCATTGAGAGAAGGAAGGTGGTAGGAAAAGTGGGCCCTTCCTCCTAGTCACTGCCTCCCCGCAGCCACACAGCCGCTCCCCACTCCCCACCCCCACCTGCTCCCATCCACACCTCTGGCCACCACAGTGAGAACTCAGTCAGGCTGAGTCCTCTGCCAGGAAAAGGGATTCAATTAAAATCTCACTTTTCAACAATATTCCCAAGCCCCGCGTGGTTATTACCTCACACCCAGCTGAGTGGGGTGGGGGGGTGTCCGGGGTGGGGCAGGAGTGTTTGCTAACTGCTGGTGCTGGGATGGGGGTGGGGGTAGGGGATGGGGAGGGAGGCAGAGGCTGCAGCAAGCACAGCACTGGGAGTAGGTGCTGAGCCAGGCCTTTCTCTGGCTCGCTGCAGGCCAGCTGCTGCTCCTCCTCACAAGCAACAACCTCCTGGTCAGCAGCATGGCATCGGCAATGAAGGGGCCAGGCCTGAGCCCAGTGCCCAACTCCTGCCACCTCCCTGGTCCACCTGGCCCCTTCTCACTGCGGTTCCAGGGGGAGCTACCCTCAGAAAGCTGTTGACAGATGTGGAGACAGAGGCACTGGATACAAAAGGCCACAAATTAACACCAGTTCTGCTTCATTCTACAAACTGCATCTTAGTCACCAGGCAGACTTGCCTGCCCTTTTGGTTTTAAGAGAGCAACAAGGAGTTCACCTTGAACCACCTCGAATACAGTTAACAAAACAACCATCATCAGCCCATGACCTTTATGCGAGCGGCCTGTCAATCATTCTTCTCTAAAATGCCAGGCCCTGCACCCACCGCTGTCTCTAGAACCACAAGCCTAAACTTGTGAACCCAGGAGCTGTCCAGGGCTCCCTGAGTCCCTTTGGCACACAGTGGGTGATCCTAACACTTAGTTGGGTGTTTAAACACATAACTGCCCTTGACTCTCTAATCTCAGTCCAAGGCCCTCCTCCCTGCCCCCACTCTTAAAGTCTCCAAGCCCTGGCCCAGCCTTGTTGAGTCCATGCCTAGCGCCATGCCTGGCATAAGTAGGTGCCAATGCTGTGGGTGGGGCAGGCCCAGCTGACATGGGGTTTAGGCTGTGAGGTGTGGGGTGTGTGAAGGTCTGAGCTTCCCCTCGCTCTGTTCTCCCCACCCGCATGCCCCTGCTTGGGCCAGCCTCTCCTTGTCCCTATGACTCTGTCCCTGAAGAAAAGCCAGTGAGAGTGGCTGCCTCAGTCAGCAGGGAGGGCTGGGGAGACACTCTCCGATGTGAGGGCTCAGGGGAGAGAGACCGGCCACGTCTCCAGGTCAGCGACCTCCTGAGAAACCCACTCCCCAGAGAGAGCTCCGGGGGGCCCAGGAGGGCAGAGCAGAGCAGGATGCAAGCTGGCCGAGTCCACCCGCTCCAGGTCGCTGCAGGACCAGGGCAGTGCCTGCAGCTGTGGCTGCGGGGCTGGTGGCTCAGAGGCCAAGCAGCTCCCAGGGGACGGGCCATCAGTTAGTAATAAAGCCTCGTCGCTGGCTGGGCAGGGAGAGGCGTGGGGAGGCAGCCTTAGTAAAGTTATGGTTTCTGGCACCTGCATAATTTGGCAGGGGGGTATTTACACTACCGCATCGGGGCCCTGGCTACCCAGGTGAAGGTTTGGAATGGAAACCTCAGGCGGGCTCTCAGAAACACAGCTCCCAAGCCTGGGTCTCAGGGTGCTGGAGGCCGGGAATGGTGCTAGGATCCCAGTCCGCACAGGGATGCTCCTCTCCCTGCCCTTCGCTCTCTCCCATCTCTTGCAAGTGCTCACTGGGAGCCTTTCCGCACTCTGCCACCTGGAAGTGGGGCCATCTCTCAGAGCCCAGGAGCCCCCACCCCCACCCTCAGAGGCACCCTCCCAGCTCAGCTCTCTGAGGAGCTCAGCAAAACTCCCAGCGCACTTAGGATGTGGGGTGTTTGCCCGCAGAGCTGTCGGGTGGATCAAGTGACACAGCCAGGGGTGAGGTTGGTCCTCAAGGAGACTGCGACCTTAGGTGGCGCCTTGGCAGCGCCCGCGTCTCTGCACCCCTGCCCCGGCGGAGCTTGATCCCAGAGCCCCCCCCTCTCCCCTGGCTGGGGACAGCCCTGTTACGGGGTGCAGCGGGAGCGCAGTCCTTCCTCCGTCCCAGCGGAGACTGCCCAGTATCAGGCGGGAGAAGGAGACCCGCGGAGCATCTGTCCAGATGTGCAGTCAGGCACACGCCGCCCTCCCTGACCCCTCGCGGACCACAGTCCCGTCAGACGGACACACACTCACCAGCACCCTCCAACCCACAACCACGCAGCCGCCGCGCACACGGGTGGAACGCACACATGCCCGCCCCCTCCCCCCCGCCCCGCCCGCAACGTCCGCAGTTGCCCTCTAGGCTTAAACTTTCTCAGAGGGGCCACGGGCGGCGCAGAGGAGGTGGACAGCCTTGGTCCCGGGCAGGGCGCGCGCTCTTAGGGCTCCGCCCCCCTCACCTGGTACCCCCTCACCTGGTAAGCCGAGGCACAGCAGGAGGCTGTAATAGACCACGGGCAGGAGGCCCAGGCCGCAGGCCGAGCCAGGGGACCAGGACGAGCTGTTGGCGGCGAGGTGGGCGTGCGTGTGCTCCATGGGCCCTGGGCGGTCTCCTGGCCGCGGGGCTGCGTCCCGCTCCACAAGCGGGGCTGTGGGAACGGCGCCTCCTCCACGCGGGACCTGCGCCTCCCCTGGCCGTGTCCTCTCCGCTCCCTCCGTGG